GGCAGGAAACAGCCTGTTTCCCTACTTCTGATGGGCCCAGAAGGCCCGAAAATCAGCTGGCCGGCGCGCGCATGCGCCCCAGAGCTGAGCTGGTGTGCCCACTAATATGGCTCCGCGTGCCACCTGTGGCACGCATGCCATAGGTTCGCCATCACGGCCTTAGTGAGACCCCACGTAGAATACTGCATCCAGTTTTGGTCACTACCCTATAAAAAAGATGTTGAGACTCTGGAAAGAGTGCAGAGAAGAGCAACCAGGATGATTCGGGGACTGGAGACTAAAACATACGAAGAACAATTGCAGGAACCGGGCCTGGCTAGTCTAGGGAAGAGAAGGACCAGGAGAGATAGGATAGCAGTCTTCCAATATTTGAGGGGCTGCCACAGAGAGGAGGAAGGGGGTCAAGCTATTTTCCAAAGCACCCGAAGGCCAGACAAGGAATAATGAATAGAAACTGATCAAGGAGAGATTCAACCTGGAAATAAGGAGAAATTTCCTGACAATTAACCAATGGAACAAATGTTGCCTTCAGCAGTTGTGGGAGCTTCATCCCTGGAAGCTTTCAAGAAGAGACTGGACTGCCATTGGTCAGAAATGGTGTAGGGTCTCCTGCTTGGACTAGATGACCTACAAGATTGGACTAGATGACCTACACAGTCCCTTCCAACTCTGTTATTCTGTATTCTATTCTAGAAAATTCTTCCAATTTCTTGCTAGACATCCCCAAGGCTCCGGTTTAATTAAAACCATGACTCACTTTTCCACAATTAAGCGCCCGTCTTATGCAAACATCACAGCACTTCAACCAGAAAAAGGCACCACAGGTTTTAGAAGCAAAGCAATAAAAGGGATTTTACTCAGAACTGGGAAAATGTGAGAACTTTGCAACTTCCATGGCAAAATGCAATGGCAAAAGGTTGGATTCCTGATCTGTCCTCCTAACCAGAAGGAATCCAGTCCTGCTCGTCTTAAGCAGAGACACTGAGAACCCAGACCGGGTTTGGGAGAGACAAAGGTTAACAGCAGGGATGGAGTTTGGTGTGAACTCCTATAAAGGTTTCTCCCTGTGTTTGGACATAAAAAATACCACATTAATGTGTAATACACTCTCTTTGTTGCTTTCAAATCATTTTTTTAAAAAAATTGGGGCTATGGGGCACAGCTGGGTCTCAAGGCAGGGGCCCCTCAACAGTGTTTTAGCTGGATTTGACCGGAAGCATCGCAGAGAAACAGTCGGGGAATTAGTGGGCTCCGATGAGCTCTGCGAAAACCCGTACTGACGAACCGCTGCCGAAGAGTCTTCAGACCAGAACCATCCTGTAGGGATGGGGAAGAAGGAGAGGCACCTCGGAAGACCAAGGGGAACAGGCAAGTTCCTCGAAGGTCAGAGGAAACTCTCCAATTAGGCAGCAGGGGTGGCAGCCATTGCGGCTATCAAGAAGCTGGGGCAACCGGGCTAAGAATTGAGCAGGAACGGTGACTGGAACAGAGTTTTGAAGCTGGGTGAGTGACAGCCAACCCACAGGCGAAAATTTTAAAAACTAGAAGAAATAACCCCAAAATTGGCTAAAGGATTGGAAAGAAAATAGATTATTATTTTTTTAATGTTAAGAAAAACAAATGAGAAATTGGACAATAAGCCCTGCAACAGAAGTGCTGTAGAATTAAAAGATAAATAAAAGGGGGAAAAGAGGGGGAAAGTATTGTTCAATTTGGACTGGACTATAAAATTGATTTGGTATTTTCAAAGTTAAAAAGAAGAAAAAAGAAGCTAGTAAAGATTGTTAACATGGATTGAAACAAAATGGGTACCTTGTCAGACAACTGATAGGAATTGTGGATTGTAGAGAGCCATCTTCAGGAGAAAAAAGATCATTGCAATTTGGAACCTTTGTTTTGGAAAATTCTGAACTGCATTAGTGATAACAGCTGTGAGAACTTTTAGGGAGGATTGCTTTGTCTGCAAGCAGCTTGACTTTTGAAAAAACAAAAAGGAATACAACAAAACTTTTAAAATTGGAATAATATCAAGCCAGAAAGAATAAAATGGTGCAGGAAATTAGAGAAATGATGAAAATGATGTACTTGTCATGGAAAACAGAAATATGAGAAATAATTACAATGTTACATGGAGAATCAAAACTTGAGGACCCAAAAATTGAGATAGAGCATGCTCAAGCTAACAAGGAAATAAAGACAGAGAAGCAAGACACAGAGACTGAAAATAAAGAAGATAAAGACGAGATTAATTATGAAAAATTAATTGAATATGTGGATAGTAACAATGAAAAGGAGATTTTAGAGATTACATTGGGATTAACAATGGAAAAAACAGAAAGGGTGGAAAGAGACAAAGAAGGAAAGAAGGGTGAAATAGAAAAAAAATATAAAAAATTTAAATGATTACACTGGGATTAACAGTGAAAAGATAAAAGAGAACAAAGGTGTAAAACAACAGGCAAAATAGAAGAGTCCAGGACTTTGAAATACAGAATGATTACACTGGGATAAACAGTGGGGAGATAAGAAAAAGGAGAAAAGGGATGGGTAACAATGGGAAATTTAGGGCAAAATAAGAGGGTTCAAGATTTTAAAGCACAAAAGAAAAAAAGGGGAAAGAAAAAGGCAAAAATAAAAATGAAAAGGGAGAAAGGGAGAAAGAAATGAAAGAGAAATATGTTCTATATACTTAGAATTGAAAAATGAATTATAGTAAGAAATAAAATAATTGGAATATTTTTATTTGCATTTTTGGAACTTAGATAATGATAAGTTTTTAGAAATATGAATGTTTAAACTGTAACAACTGAAATACCTTTAATGGTAAATGGTGGTGAAAGTAGAAATGACTTAAGTTATGGCTTTGAGCAATATACGGGGAAAGCTGTATGATTAGACGATAACAGCTAGAACATTTTTAAAATTTAAATAGGGAAACTGTAATAATTGAAATATTTTTAATTGTATATTGTGGTGAAAGTAGAAATGATTAAGTTGTGGTTTGGAAAAACATATGGGGAAATTATTTGGTTTATTATTATCATGTAAACATAATCGATTTGTTAGAAGTTGGATTGCATGAAAATGGAAATAATTGGAATATCCATGTTCATATTTTTGGAATTTATATAAAGAAACATGGGGAAAATTATTTGGTTTATGATTAATATACAAAGAAAAAGATAGTTATATAACTAACTGATTTATACTAAAATGTTGGGTTGTATTATCAAAGGACATGTATGTTATAAAATAAGTGACTTTATTATTCCTATAAGAAATGAACCATCGTAACACCACATAATTAATTGAGGATGGATATAAAAATAGATGACAATGGGAAGGGAAAAATTGAATTTGGTTAAGATTAGAGACGAGAACGAAGGCTAATATTGGTTTTTTAAAAAATAGATGAGAATAAATATCATGGCAAAAAGGAAGTATAGAAAATTGTAACTTTAGTTGAAATGACTAAACACTATTTAAATTTGTGAATCAGCCAAATGCTCTGTTCAGAGAAAATACATTGTTTGTTTGTATGTGTGTTTGGGCAAAAAATAAAAAAAAAACTTTTTATAATAAAAAAAACCCAGTGTTTTAGCTATGCTGCCCAAATTACAATAATCCAAGGGCAGCTATCCTAATCCCAATCCTGAATCTCTTTATTTAGTTCGGATTTATTGCCGGATTTGTGCGGCTACCTGTTACCAATGAGCTGAAGCCTGATTCATTTTATAGACTTTTGAAAGAGATTCCGCTACTTCTGCCTTCTCCCAACTTGGCAGCTACAATTCACAGAACGCCCAGGAGCCATGTTGGCTGGGAACTATGGTGTTTACAGTCCAACACCTCCTGGCTGGAGAAGATGGGTTGTCGACTGCTTAGCCAGAAAAGTCTTCTACAATGTTTCACAATCAGCTACATGGGAAGCATTGTTTTCAAACAGTAAGAACAATTTGTTATGAATTGTTGAAAGTGTTTCATTTAGATACAACAACATAGTTTCTCAACCTTGACAGCTTTAAATTGCTCCGTTTAAAAAAGCTCTGGGAATTAATTGTGAGGATCGAAGACTTTTTAAAGCTTGAGAAACACCGAGTTCAAATCCTGCCTTGCAGTGTACGTTGGGATCTGCCTGCTCTGCCCTGCCCCCCAATTCCTTCCCCTTGGGGGCTCAACGCTGCCCTTGCGGTTCCGGCTTCAGTGTCCGGAGAAGCAAGCCAGGTTAACTTCCTAATTCACAGAACCCCAGGTGTGTAAACCTTAATCTACTTCTCCTCCCCTTTTCTGGATAATGGGATTGGTGGCCTCCTGGGAGGGTGGGCCTTGTATCTTAGGAAGAGCCACAAACAATACCTGCCACTGGCTACTCATCAGATACTATTAGCAGCCCAGAAGAGGCTGGGCAAGCAGGGAGGGCTGCACAGGGGCAATTGGGGGGGGGGGGGCTTACAGGTAAAGTTCTTACAGAGGTGCCAGGGCAGGACACCCATCGGCCAAAGCAGGGGAGGCCACCCTGGGTGAGCCCAGATGTGCTCCAAGGACCAGGAGACCACAACTTCTACAGCCGGAAGAGGGGAGAGGCAGTTTGGGGGGGGGGGGGCTCAGAACTTAAGCAGGATTCTTAGGAAGGCGAAAGAGCATGTCCAGAGTCCAGGCCAGCTCCCACCAAAGAAGGGGCTCCTTTCAGGCACATCCACTGAGGGGGTCAGCCGGGGGACTTGCAGCGAAGGACCTAAGGGTCCTGGGACGAGAGACCACCAGGCGATCCCACCCGGCGGAGCAAGCCGAAGAAGAGCCCCTTCGCCGGCCAGGGCTTCAGGGTCCCGGCAGCAGCGAAGCCCTTGGGTGAGGCGTTAAGAATCCCGGGACGGGAGACCACCAGGCGATCCCGCCCTTCGCAGCGTGGAGAAGCGCCGCCCTCCTGGAGAGAAGGAGCCCGAGCAGAAGCCGAAGAGCGAGCCCGGCTCCGAGCGGCACGTGGCCGGGGAGGCACTCACGTCATGTTGCGGACGGTGCGGCCGCCGTTCCAGAGCAGGCAGGCGACGCTGGTGAGGGCCGAGGCGACCACGCAGAGGACGCAGTAGCTGCCCACCTTGGCGCGGAAGCGCAGCGCCGGACTCAGCGCCCCCAGCAGCAGCAGCGCCAGCAGCAGCAGCAGCAGCAGCGCGGCGGCGCCCATCCTGGCCGGGCGAAAGCTCCGGAGCGCGCCCCTGCGCAGCGGCCCCGGAGCCCGGCGGCTGGAGCGAGAGTCGGGAAGCGCCTGACGCGGCCCCGCCGCGCTCGGCACCTCTTAAGGGGCGGCCGCACACGCCCTCCCGGCCCTCCGCCCAGGGGCGGCCCCGCTCCGCCCGCCTCTCCGCCTCTCCGCTGCGCTCCTCCGCTCGCCCTTCCTTGGCCGGCAGCCCCAGAATAGCCCTAGCGCCGGAGGACTTGTATACCGCTGCTCTGCAAGCTGCGTCAGCTGCCATCGCGGCTTCTCGGTGCAGTTCAAGACACCCGTTCGTGAGCCGTAAGCAGCAATAGCCCTTAGGCTTTTTTTTTTATTATTATTGAAAAGTTTTATAAAAAGTACAAACATTTTCACCCCCCCACCCTTCCCCCCTCAACCCCCCCTCCCCTCCCCTCCCTCCCCCCACCCCCCTCCTAGACTTCCCAGAACGAGCACAGGGTATAGCATTCACAAACCAAGAACTAAAATGTGCTAACAAATTATTACATTTCATGTTCTCCCTAGGTCCTTAACTCCTTATAACTCAGAAAAAACAAACATAAACTACTTAATATTGTTTCATTCATAAGCTATATGAATCTTCTTATTCGGATACTTCTTCTGTATGTAATCAATCCATTTTCTCCATTCCCATATATATCTCTCATTTGAATGGTCTTTAAGGTATGATGAAATTTTTGCCATTTCCACCAAATGCACAACTTTTAATGTCCATTCCTCAATAGTAGGTGGATCTTCCTTCTTCCAGTACTGTGCCACCAGTAACCTGGCAGCCGTTATTAACTTCAAAACCAGCTTAGTCTCTATTACAGTACAATCCGTAACTATTCCCAACAGAAAAAACTGTGGAGCCCTTAGGCTTATATACCGCTTCGGAGTGCTTCGCCTTGGGAGGGAGGGAGGGAGGGAGGAAAGGAAGGAAGGAAGGACAATAGCAATAGCCCTTAGGCTTATATACCGCTTCGGAGTGCTTCGCCTTGGAAGGGAGGGAGGGAGGGAGGAAGATAGCAATAGCCCTTAGACTTATATACCGCTTCGGAGTGCTTCACGGTGGAAGGAAGGACTTTTTTCTTTTCTAGCAGCCAGCAAGCTCTTCCTGCTAGGTGGGAGACCTATATAGATCTATTTCCAGCTCGTTTGCTTTCATCAGTAGCCACACCCACATCTTATGTATCCTCCCTGTAAAGGTATAGTATCTATTTTCTTACTTCTTCGTAGGGTTTATGTGTGTTTTTCCTCTAGCAGGTTTTCCCTACGTAACCAAGGTTTTTCTGCAGCCCCAGCTCAGTAGAATCACATCCACTCGATTCTGGGATTTTTTCTTTTCTAGCAGCCAGCAAGCTCTTCCTGCTAGGTGGGAGATCTATATAGATCTATTTCCAGCTCGTTTGCGTTCATCAGTAGGCCCCACGTGTATATAACATTAGAGAGGGGGGGGAGAGAGGGAGAGAGAGAGAGAGAGAGAGAGAGAGAGAGAGATCCTTCTCTAAGCAATTGGAGTCAGCCTCTTGCCCCCAACAATCTGGGTCCTCATTTTACCCACCTCGGAAGGCTGAGTCAACCTTGAAGTCCTGGCAATAGAATGCAGAGTTAACCACTGCGCCAACACGGTTCATAGATATGAGAGAGGGAGAGGGAAGGGGAGAGAGAGAGAAAGAGAGAAATGGACTAGAAGACCTCCAACTCTGTTATTCTTGGGCTCCTGCAACTTTAGCTTCCTTACCCAGCTACCCAATGACCCAGAGGCAACTGAAGAACTGTGCTGATGTATGGAGCTACATAAGTACCTCCCCCACCCCAAGGTAGCCAAAGGAGAGGGGGGGTCCGCAAGTTTCTTCTGGGCTAAAAACTAAATAAAACTTTTTGAAGGCCCAGAGAATGTGGGGTCCTTTCCACATGGATCAGTCTTTGCTTCTCCTTTTCATCCTGTTGCTTGGGGAGATGGGATTATTTATTGATTTAATTTCTTTGTCACACATCTGGCATGGAAACGACTCTGGGTGCCTTACAACATTAACCCATTAAAATCCTAACATGTATCTCAAACAATAAAAAAACGAAAACTACACTAAAAATGCAAGTATAAATTATTTATAGGAATAAAGCAAACTTGGAGATCTTCGGATGGGTTGAAGATCCTATTTTTATTTATTTCATTAATATTCAATGGCTGCCGAATTCCAGTGGAGCTGAAGGAGTGGGGCAAATTGAAAAGCCCTCCACCCGTCAAAGACAAAGGCGCCAAGGAGTAGCTGTTTAAAGACCATTTAATCATGTCAATTTTGTAAAATGCAAGCTCTCTATCAAGGTAGCAAATCAAAAGCAGAGGGGATGGACTAGATGCCCTTTGGAAGCCCTCAGAAAGAAAAAGCCCCTTCAGCTGAAGGAGCCGCCTAAGCCACAGGTCGGATTTTCATTTCGGAGCGCTTGTAGGAGTAGAAGTAGCCTTTCCCCGTTCTCCAGTTGATGCCATCGGCAAAGGTCTTATGTTCTCCCAGCCAGTATCTCCCATTGAGGTTGGAGTGGTGGCAGCTATTGTACCACCAGCCACCTTTGTACTTCTCAGCACAGTTGACGCTCTTGAGGTTCAGCCGCTTTTCCCAGGTGGAGAAGGGCATGTTGTTGTGGTAGGAGAGAGAGTCACCTGGGAGGCAGAGAGCAGGGTGGGTGCCTGGAAGGCCAGTCCAAGCCATCTCCAGGAAATCAGTCTACCAGTTAGCCTGACTGGCACTGCCCAATTCCAAGAGGCTCATGGAGAAGGGTGCTAAGCCCCCCTGGACTTTGTCAGGGACTCACCTATAGAGCCCCCCGTGAAGGAGCCCAGAGTTAGCTGATACCAGTTGGATTCTGCTGCCACCTGGAAGGACGCATACTTGGCGAAGGTTTGATGATTGTCGAAATCAATCAAGTCAACACGCAATTCGTTCTTTCCTAGGAGGAAGAGAACAGCCATGTGGGTCAGTTTTCACACTGCCCAGACACCAAAACTCATGTTTCTCTGGTCCTCCTCCATCCATAGAGGGTGCTGAGGCTCTAACAAGCGAGGACCCTGCTCCCCTCTCCCCTGGCAACAGGAGAGTTCAGGGCTGTGAGGGGAAGTCCCTCACCCAGTGAGGTCAAGCAGTGAAGGTGGTCATTCCCCAGCCAGAATTCAGTCAGATGGCTTCCAAATCCCCTCTTGTAGGCAGCCCAGTTCCGGAAAAAGTCCACCGAGCCGTCCGACCGTCTTTGGAAGACCTGCGGGGGAGAATCGGGACTCCTAACCTTCCGCCTGGGCAGGTCCCGAAATCAAAAGTTTTCTCTCCCCACAACCCTCTGTTCCCAAATTTTGGAAGACCTGGAGGGGAGAATTGGGACCCTTAACCTTCCAGCTCAGCAGACCCCCAAATCATACTCTTCCCTCCCTTCCCAAATTTTAGGGGTCTCATGGCTGGCCGCCTCCTCCCAGAAGTGCTGATCCCCCTCCAAGGATCCCTCCGGCCCCCATTCTGGCCTCAGAAAAGACTGATTTCTGATTCATCCCATTCTTGGCAAGCAGCAAAGTTACAATCCTGGGCGTGTCTGCTGTGGGGCATAACCCCCTTTCCCCACAGAAGGCCCCATCCAAGGCATGGAGGTAAGAAGCTCTGCGCCCCTTGGCCACGCATGGGTAGAACCTCCTCTGCCAGACTCACGATCCATCCGCCTCCGTCAGTGTCCATGTCGCACAGCACCTCCAGGGGCTGGCAGTCCTGGGGGTAGATGGTGTACCAGCCACTCAGGACCACTCCTCTTTTCAAGAGCTCTTTGCAGTTTGGGGCACCTGGGCAGAAAAAGGGCAGGAGAGTGTAGAGTGGAACTGAAACCTGAAACCTTTCTGTTGGGGTTTAGACCCAGAAATATTGGATTGACTAAATGGTATCTGATGCTGCACATAATCACTGCAGGGAGACTGGCATTCGCACAAGAATGGAAGAATGAGGACTTACCAACAGACTCAAAAATAATTTATAAAATTATGGAATGTGCGGAGTCTGACAGATTTACAAAACTGAGGCACAACTATGTCTGATGTGCCACAGCCTCCCAATCTGTCGGAAGTCCCTTTCAGCCTAACTTCAGCTATCTTATCTAGATCCGCTCCAGTCCGGCTTCAGGCCTGGGTACAGAATGGAAACGGCATTGGTCGCGTTGGTGGATGATCTCTGGAGGGCTCGGGATAAGGGAAGCTCCTCTATCCTCTTATCCCTCTGGAGGGCTCGGGATAAGGGAAGCTCCTCTATCCTGTTAGATCTCTCAGCGGCTTTTGATACCATCGACCATGGTATCATGTTGCACCGGTTGGAGGGGTTGGGGGTGGGGGGCACTGTTTTGCGGTGGTTCTCCTCCTACCTCTCTGACCGATCGCAATCTGTGTTGGCAGGGGGGCAGCAGTCGACCACCTCACCTTTTGGCCCTGGGGCTCCAATTTTCCCAGAGATTCCCTGAAAGCCTCTTTTAAGAAAAGGCATGGTGAGGCTTCCAGGTGCCCCCTTCTCAGGGAGGGAGGGGAGTAGCCCCCAGCTGAAAGGTGGGTGACAAGACGGGTTATTTCTTTCGGAAGGGGTCGGGTTAAGGAGCCAACTTCACCCTCTGTCCACAGACTCACCTTTGGTCCCTAGAATGCCAGGGGGCCCCCGTGGCCCTTGTGGTCCTCGCAAGCCTGGACTCCCCCGCTCAATGGCTATTGTATCGTTGACTTCAGGGTCAAGCTTCTTAGCTTCTGCAAAGGAAGGAAACCATTTGGAGGAAAGAACTTTGTTTAAGCGAAGCAAATTTCTCATCCGAGAAGGGCGGTAATGCTGCCCCTCTTGCTCCTCAGAGCTAACCTGCCTGTTACTCACCTGGGCAGGACTCCTGCGCCCCTCGATGGATTGCAATCATCAGGCAGAAGAGGAGGAGACCCACTTGCTCTCCAGCTCTCCTCATGGTGCCCGCTGGACTCCGACTGCAGCCTGCCCTGGACCCTCTGCTTTTATTTGGGCAGCCGGCTTTTGTCCCTTTCCCCTTTAAGTGAGGCCTCCAGGGCAACATCACAACACCACAAACTGCTTCCTTGTTGATCAAAACACACCCCGGCTAGTTAAACACCTGGGTAATTCTTCATTGTGGAGGGAGGCAACCCATCTGCTTCAAAGCAAAGCTGCAAGGGGGGAAAATGGGGCTACTGCAATGTGAGATGCCTTCAGGTGAGTCTCTCTTCCTGCTGGTGGGTTGTCAGCAGAACCAGATCTCCAATTCGGACTTAAGGGACCAGTGGTCCAATGGCCAAAATTATGCCAGACTTCAAATCTGGGGGCTGTTTTCTTTCACTCCACTCTTTCAATGCTTGCTTGTTGGCTGCCATGGTAACGGGGGGAGGGGGAGCTAGTGAGTTGCTAGATGGGGAAGCGTGCTGGAGGATGAGAGGAAGGGGAAACGAAAGCGAAACTTAGCTGCAGTCCTGTGCCTTTGAAGCGGTTATCGAAACAACGGTCCTGACATTCCAGATTGATGACACTGCCAGATGTGTGATTCCAACTGACCTCTGGAGGACCTTTGGATTGGATGATTTACGCTGGACAGTGGGAGGGGAGGCTGCTTTCTATATGTGATTTTCCCGCCTATTGCGTCAGATCTTGCTTTCCTTTGGCTGCATTCAGTTCGATTTTAGTAAAAGTACCTTTACTCCATGAAAATGGTGTCGGGGTCATTCTTTCCTGAATTCTGAAAGGAGGCACGCCTGACACGGTGTGAACCCGCTAAATAGCCACAGAGTAACCTTCCCGATTTTGTAGAAATATGAACAACATGGCTGAAGGATTAAAAGCAACAAGGCAAGGAGAAGGTTTCAATCAATCAAAATACAGCTGGAAGGGACCTTGGAGGTCTTCTAGTCCAAACCCCTGCTCAAGCAGAAGACCCTCTACCATTTCAGATAGTATTTTCTTAAAAACCTCCAGTGATGAAACATTCACAACTTCTGGAGGCAAGCTGTTCCACTGGTTGATAGTTCTCACTGTTATTTCTCCTTAAATCCAGGTTGCTTCTCTCTTTGATTAGTTTCCATCCATTATTTTATCAGGCGTTTTATCAGGTTCGCCTGATTCGCCAGTTGCGTCCCTTTCTGGATCGGGACTCATTAAATACGGTCACTTATGCCCTCATCACTTCCTGCCTGGACTACTGCAATGCTCTCTACATGGGGCTCCCCTTGAGGAGCACCGGAGGCTCCAGCTGGTCCAGAATGTGGCCGCGCGGGTGGTTATGGGAGCGACAGGGCGCTCCCATGTGACCCCCTTCCTGCGCGAGCTGCACTGGCTCCCGGTGGTCTTCCGGGTGCACTTCAGGATATTGGTTACCACCTTTAGAGTGCTCCATGGCTTAGGACCGGGGTATCTACGAGACCACCTTCTGCCACCAGTAGCCTCTCATCGATCAGTACGCTCTCATAGAGAGGGGCTCTTCAGGGTGCCGTCGGCCAAACAGTGTCGACTGGTGGCCCCCAGGGGGAGAGTCTTCTCTGTGGGGGCACCCGCCATCTGGAACGAGCTCCCCCCAGAGATACGGAGGATCCCGGACCTGCGCACTTTCCGTCGTGCCATCAAAACATTTCTTTTCCAACAGGCTGGCCTGGCCTAACCTCTCTTTTAAAATTTTTAAAATTTTAAATTTTGTCTTATGAATTTGGGGGTTTTAAATTTCATTCTCTGAGCCAATTATTTAATTGTATTTTAATGATTTTTAACATTTGTATTACATGTATTTTATTTGGCTGTTCACCGCCCTGAGTCCTTCGGGAATAGGGCGATATACAAATTTAATAAATAAAAATAAATAAATAATAATAAATAATTTCTTGTCTTGTCTTCTGGTGCTTTGGAAAATAAGTTGAGCCCCTCTTCTTTATGGCAGCCCCTCGAATACTGAAATAATGCTATCATGTTCCCCCTAGTCCTTCTATTCTGTAGACTAGCCAAACCCAAATCCTGCAACCGTTTTTCTTCATATGTTTTAGTCTTCAGGCCTTTAATCATCTTCTTTGCACTTTTTCCAAAGTCTCAACATCTTTTTTATAATGTGGTGACCAAATCTGAGTGCAGGATTCCAGGTGTGGCCTTAATAAGAATTTATAAAGAGGTACTAACACTTCACGTGATGTTGATTCTATGCATCTGTATATACAATCAAGAACTGATTTTACAACCAAGAATTATACAACCACCGTAGCTCAGATTCTCCTCTTACGATGGGAGGCCAGGTGTTCTCTTGGAAGGCTGCTAGAGCCCAATTTCAGCCTCCTAGTGAATGTTGGGGGTCCCTTTCGGGGAGCAGATTTCCCCTTTTGGCATTTGCAACCCCAACTCTGATGGACGGCCACTTGGATTGGGAACAAACACCATTTCAAGGGGATTTTTATTCTCCAAAAGCCCCTGAGGGCCAGACATGAAGTAACGGCTGGAAACCTATCAAGGAGAGATGCAACCTGGAATTAAGGAGAAATTTCCTGACAGGGAGAACAATGGAATGTCTTGGCTCCAGATGTTGGGTGCTCCATCACTGGAGGTTTGCAAGAAGAGATTGCAGAGCCATTTGTCTGGAATGGTACAGGATCTCCTGCCTTGGGCAGAGGGATGGACTAGAGGACCTCAAAGATCCCGTCCAACTCTTGACTTCCGGTTTCCTTGTCTTCGGCGACGGCGGCGCTCTTTGAAGCTCCGCCAGCCCCGCCGCCTGTAGAGCCGCTTCGCGATCGAGAAGCGGCTCGAAAACTTCAAAATCCTGAGGATTGTTGGAGGAGAGATCGCAGGGCACAGGTCGAGCCCCTGTAACCCCCTAGGGAATCGTTTCTGGGGAGAGAACAGGCGTGGCTCCCTTCCAACCTGCTGAGACTCCGGGCGGCGTGGGACGATTCTGCTTCTGCAGAACAAGCCGGCTGCAGGAAACTTAAAGCGCAAGAACCAGTTTTAATAAACAGCGAAACTACCTGAATCCTGAAATTTGGAAACGCAAGTATTAGCACTTTGTTGACTTTTCAATCTGAGAAAATGCGAATGAGTGAAAGTGCTTTGAAAAAACATGGCGCCTAGCTTCAGAGTTAACGAGCCAGCGAGTGTGGATTGGTGAAGTTACTTTGTTTTGCTACAAAATTTCCAAGTTGCTACTAAGCTGCTTTGCTTGTTATAAGAGAAATAACTGGGAAATTTTTTCCTTTTCAATATTGGACTTTGCTTTATTTTAACCCTTGTTTGATTAAATCTGGGGGACTTTTTTAGAAGTCTTTGTGCAGGAGGGAAAGGAAAAGGAACTTCCCTCTTTAGAAAAACTAGATCACGAGCCAGGATGGCTTCAAAGAAGCAGGAAGGGAAGGCATTAGGGGGGGGATCCCCCACACACAAAAATCAAACGCAACTTCCCCCTGCTCAACAGCTACAAACTCAGAAAAAAGAATTTGATGTGGGAGATTTAAAAGAATTTATTTCTAAAACTCTGGATGACAAATTTCAAAAATGTCAACAGGAGATAGATGATAAACTTCAAAAATCACATCAGGAATTTATGCAGGAAATTAATGAAGTTAAAGACATGGTGAAACAGAATCAAAATAAGGTGACCAAAAAAATATCAGAAGTGGCGTCTGGCCTGGCAGAATTTATTGGGAAAGTTGATTTTAAAGTTGAAGAATTCAAATCAGAAGTTAATGTTAAGATGAAAGACAATGATTATAAAATTGATGAAGTTGACAATAAAATGCAGAGAATTGAAGATGAGATTGTTATGATACAATTCCGGGCGATGGAATTTGCCATACGGCTTCGGGGAATTCGAGAGGAGGAGAGACAGGATTTGAGACAGGTTTGCTCTGAAACCTTGGCTAAGATTTTACAAGCTAATCCTGATTTGGTATTTCATAAAATAGATAAAATTTACAGAGTGAACTCTTGGGTGGCCAGACAAAGACAATTGCCTAGAGATGTGGTCATATACTTTACTGAGAGAGAAATTAGAAATGATATCCTGCAAAAATCTTTTCACACTTCTGTACAAGTGGGGGGCTCAAGACTTGAAATTTTTAAAGAATTACCTCCTAAAATGCTGAAAGCTAGAAAAGAATTTGGTTTTCTTGTTAAGGAATTGAGAAATTTACAGATACCCTTCCGGTGGGACGCACCAGCTGGGATAATTTTTAGATATAAGGGAGAAGGATATCGGTTGAATACCGTGGAGAAGGCACAACACTTTTACAGTACTATTCTTAAGGAAAGAACACCATCTCCACGTACATCTACAGTTTTGGAGATTAAGGAGAGTGAAGAGAGGCAATTGAAAGAACAGTCTAAGCAGGAATTAGAAAACGTGCAAGGTGCAGAAGGAGGTTTTCTGAGTGAGCCCTTGTTGGATTCTTCTCCAATTTTGGATTTGATTCAGTTGACAGAAGTTAAAGATCAACGTATAACTAGAGCCCAATCCAAGCTACTTAAACAAAAGCAACAACAACAACAGGAAAGACAAGACAAGAAGGCAGTTAAGAGTACCGTACAAGAGAGTGGAGCTATGGGAGGAGCGAGATCGAAGCTCTCGGATGAACTTCAAATATTTTGCTCTGTGCTCCAGAAAGAGGCTGATGACCTTTAAGTGTCTATCTTGGAATGTCAATGGGTTGAATTCAGCACAGAAAAGGAAGAAATTATTTACATATTTGAAACAATTTAATAATGATATAATATGTTTACAAGAAACGCATATCACAACTCAAGATCAAAAATATTTGATAAACTCAAAACTAGGAGCACATTATATATCCTCAACTTCGCAGAAAAAGAATGGTGTGGTTATTTATGTAAATAAAAAATTAACAGCGAAAGTTATAGAAGCAGATCAAGATGGTAGGTTTGTAGCAATTGAATTGCTCACAGCAAATGGTCAAATTCTTTTGATTGGAATTTATGCTCCCAACCAACAACAGGATTATTTTTATAAGACGTTACATACTAAAATATTGCAA